GCTATCCTACGAATGCAATGATTTCATCGCGAGTTCTCAAATTACAAGCGAGATTTATGTATAATTTTGGTCCCGGTACATCAGTAGTAGTAAAATAAAAAGACAGGACAATCGAGCAGGAAATATATTACGTTCATTTTTTATGTTATTTTTACTTTGTCATTCGGGTCGAATGAGACGCTGTTCCCTTTCAATTCCGTTGACGTTGCTGAATTCGTTGGCTTAACGTAGGCATAGTAATAAAATTCTGCAAATAATAAAAGTAGGAAGACATTTTGCGGTATCAGAACGAACGCTGTCCATTTCGGGTATTCGCAATCCGTCCAGAATAATTGGGTGATGTGAAGTGCTACTATGAAGAACTGGATCATTTGTAGCTGAGTAATATGCTTTTTCCACGATTTCATGTTTATTTTCATAGATGACAGCAAATAATATGTGTACATTATTGAGTGAACGAATGTGTTGATTAATCCTGAAACAAAGCGTTAGTGTCCATTGAAGAGTTATAAAGTGCAGGTTCTTGCATTCGCATGTTTATTACACCACGACTAAACCTTACGGTATAATATGAAAAATGGCACCTTTTTAATAAAATAGTGGGTCTCTAATGCTCGACGACCTGTTTCAATTAATTACAATCGTTCAAACAATCTGTAAAAATTCATGAATATACTTCCATGTTTGGAGAAGAGATGTATGTAATCAATGTTGGACAATAACAATATGTAGCACGACTTATTTATAAAAAAGGAAACACAGATCGAGGAGAAAACTTCCAAGAAAAAAAACAGTCGAGTAATAAAACCCATTATTGTATCGTACTGAACGCGTTAAATATTCATATAATTTATCGCGTCATTAACTCCTTCCGGTCGTAATAGACCGAAGTCTATTGTAGATATGAATATCTTGCCGGGAATATTCTGGATTTCGACCAGCAAGGGTTAAATATAGAATTATACTTTAATTTTTTGTATATTAAATAGAATTGGAATATCCTTGACTAGAATCGGAAGAAATTCCTAAATGACACATTATAATATCATTCTTTTTCGAATACCGATATTATAGAATAATATTTAAAGTCATTATATATCTATATATATTATTTTTTCAATTTCTTGCAATTATTAATAGTGGTGATATGATACGCGAGTATTTTAAAATAAATTGGACAGAAAAATATTCCACATACAGATAAATTTATAATGAATGAGAAATTAATATTGTTTACTACTCAACTTAAAATATTTGCAAAAAAAATTATTGTAGATAATTTTAAAAACAAATGCGTACGCTAATCGATCACACCGATGACTGTACTGTATTCGAGAATAGTTCATCTTTTCGTCACGGTTTTCAGGTTTCGAGCTTCTTAATCATATTTATTAAAAGTTTAAATATTCGGTGATCACATATACCACCATATAATATTATACGTACCTATAAAAGTACCATGGCCACCTGGATAATATTTAACGCAAATCCAAGCAGCTACTACCATACCACAGTGGTGATACACGTGAAGGAAACTTACATGACTT